TTATTATTATCAATGTTGAAAACAGTTGTGCTGCTTAATATTTTTGGGGAAACCATCATATAAGTTTTTTTTTATATACATACAAATTTTCAGGATTCTCTGACGTACTTCAAAATAATTTCATTTATTTGAAATATTGTCTCTAACAATGTGAAAATCTATAAAAGTATTTTTAAAAAGTAATAATAAAAGTCTGAATAAATGTATTAATTTATTATTAATAAATCTTACTGACCCCAAACATTTGAACTGTAGTGTATATATTTTTAATTATTTTAATCTTTTTTTCTTTTTTTTTAAGAGCTGATTTAAAAAAATATATACTTTTAAGTCATAATTTCTTAAATGTTTTATAGATTTAACAAAGTAATATTGCAAACCGCAAAAGAAAGACAGCTCTAAAATGAGAGAACAGAGAGGGGAAAAAAGACTGAGAATGAGAACGATCAAATAAGTCATACTATTCACTGATAGCACGATGAAGTAATGAGTTATGATAAATGGGCGCTCCTCTGCACAGGACCTTTCGCTGCAGAGCATTTTGAATGGGCCAATTGTCATAATCTCTGCTGTGATGAAGAGGATTCTATTGGGCCTCTGGATTATTCATTGATTTGCTCTCATCAAACAACATGTTATTGTTGTCCTCTTCTGGCCGAATTGGTGACTTTTTTCCGAGTGAGTGTGCATCTCCTCTCAAACAAAACTAGCTCTGACAAATAGGGTGTTTTCCGTAGCATAACCTGAACTGTGCTTCCTCAAAACATACAATACTGCACGGTCACTGGAATCTTTCCACATTACAGGGAAGTGGTCACCCTGAAGAATACACCTTCCTCACAACATGTCCAAAATAATAACACATTAGTTGCTCTACTTCTTAACAGACAATGTGTGTCCCCAAATCCATTTGTGTTCCAGAACAGAAATAGCGCAAGGAAGAGTCACAACATGTTGCTAAGCTAATGATGCAATACTGTAAGCATACAAAAACGCATAACACATAGTACAATGATTAATTATTTATCATAATAGCAAATTCTCTCAACTTGTGCGCCGTTTTCGATTATGTTTTAGCTTGTTATGCTAAAAATATTGCTAAATGCTAAAAATATTAGTTTAAGTATGTGTGAACTATATCAAAATGTTAAACATACATCTAAATATTACAGTGATCCTACCATTCATAACTCATTTTATTTTCATAATATGACATTTCAGAGTGAATTTGAAAGAGAAAATTTGAAAAAGGTGTATGTTACATATGAAACCAAATGCAAATATGCTATAAAAATGCTTGAATTACAGATGGCTCGTTTCCAGCGAACGGTACGGTTCAGTACAGTACATTACGGTATGCAATTGCTTTACCGTTTCAATTGTCAGCAGTTGTGAATGGTACCAAAATAGGGAACTGTACCGTACCACTTTTTTGGGACCTTTGCATTGGGGTACCTAGCACAGTAGTACAGTACCTAAAGGGTGGAGCTAGACTCCCTGCAGAATGCTGATTGGTTGACAGAGAACCGTTACTTGCGCGTGCAACAAGGGGAATGAAGCATCTCCTTCCCTCGCTCCGCCATACTGCTCATGCATGCTTGTTTACGTCAGAGTACGCAAACACAAAAAATATAATATAGTGTGTTTTATAATTTAATATTTTCACACGCATACACACAGAGAATGTTGCACTTTCTTTTTTGCGCGAGAATGACGTTGATCGCTACTTTCCAGCATACAGCACGCCTATCAACTGTTGGCAGTGGAAACGCAAGTCAGATTATGGTGTAATCATGGTGTAACCTGAATCATACTGTACTGTACTGTACTGAACTGCACCGCTCGGTGGAAACGAGCCATTAGTCACCAATGGATCCTCTGCAGTGAATGGGTGCTGTCAGAATGAGAGTTTAAACAGCTGATAAAAACATCACAATAATCCACATGACTCCAGTCCAGTCCTGTTTTCGCTTGTAAACACTGCTTGATCGGTGCATATTTCTCTCCTGATTCAGACGAGACCACTTTTTCACTTGAGATTGAAAGATTTTGGGGTGAACTATTCCTTTAAGTGACACCAAATGGGCCACAAGAATCACCTCTGATTCACCTCCTAGTTTAGGATTCATGGGACTCGATCATCTTCTTTCCCCTTCATTCCCCATTTCTTTCTCTTATGTTGATGTGCCTGTAAACACACGGATGGGAAAGAAATATAACCAAGCCAAACTTGGCTTCAATTTTATATTATGATCTTTAACAGTACCACCACAAAGAAATAATATTACATAAAATCTTCTGTTTGCATTTTTTTACATACACATATATTTTGTTTACAGCTGGATGTTTTTCCAAGGATGTTTTTAGATTCTGTTGGGAACAGCATTTGAAAAGTGACTCACTCGTGCCATAGCAAGTTAGAGCCAAAAAACCTTTGACCTCTTCTGAGTCTCTTAAAAGATCTCAAATATTTTAGCGAGCGCAGTTCACATTCAGCCACAGATAAAGCTTGCTCTGTCTCGAAGAGCAAGATCATCAACGCACACTGTATGAAACTACAAATTGTTACTGTTGCAAACTGTTAATTTGTGGCCATGATATCTTGTTTTTTACTCCACGTCATCTGCATCATGTTTTTTGCTCCGAACATCTGCGATGTCTGTTTCTTTATAGGTGTATATAAATCTGTGGCTATGTGATTGTACAAGAATGCCTCTTTATATGTGTTTGAAGATTTTTATGGACAGAAAAATTATTTTTAATAGCTGCATCACTCACACACATATTCTTCATGTGTGAGTGATGACCATGAACGACACAAATTTGTGCAAGGTCTGATTTTGACCAAGTTGCTTTTGGTCATAAATCTGTCGTATGCAAAGTTATGATTGATGGCAGCAGGGTTTTTTTTTGATGAGGTTGCAGGTGTCTGGATGGAATGACTAAGATGACCTGCTTGATTTCAGGCCTGTGTGTGTTACGCTGGGAAAATCCCAAGCAACAAAACCTCTCCCCCAGTGTTCCTCCCACCATGCCAGCCAAACAGAGACAAAAATGCACAACATTCTTCTCACACATAAGCATACCAACACTAAGCTGGATTCACACAGCTTCTAAATTGAAAATCATGTGTACTTTGCTCCATGTAATGAAAACATACACCATAGAATTATGCACAACACTAGTACACTTAGCTATCATGCACACACAGTGACTATACAGTCTTTTATATCTTACTGCTTAATTTTAAAATGGACTTTGGGGGTTTAAAACAGACAAAAATGCCCTAACTGTATGCCATACAGCTCTAACAGGTAATAGATGCTGCAGTGAAGTAAAAGCTTTAAAAAACACACAGAGGGGTATTACTGAGGCATTTTATGTTGTAGAATAAACCATAAAAATATCTTGAGCTTGTGCTGACCACAGACCTTATTTCAGCCATTTAACCAAAGCCCATTCATGAAAACCATTGCCTTCTGGACGATGAAACCAGAAGTGCAAAATGCTACAGTAACTCAATTCCAGGTTTTTGCCTACAAAAATATGTTATGCCTGAAACTGTTCAGTCACATGACTTGTTTAGGCAAAGTCACACTTTTTTTTTTTTATTCATCCAGAACATCTTTAAGTCGTATATTTAAGAGTCCTAGTATTCTATTCTGAATGTTTTCATTGTTGTTTATGTGCACATCTTCTTAAAGACTGAAAAAGTTATCCACCTTAAGCGAGTGCATGCATTTTTTGTGCATATTTTTAACATTATTTGCATCTTGGTGTTTCCATCCAGTATTTTGTATCACAATATCCCAAAACAGGATAATACAGAAATGTCATACTTGATCTGGGTTTCAGTTTTTGTGTATGTGCTTCCATTAGTTCCTCCAGCACGTGCTGTGCTCTCTGTTATTAGTTGATCTGAGAGAATGGATGACAAGCTGTTTTCCTCCCTCCATCAGCAGCTCTCTTTCTACCGCGTCTCAGGTTCCATTATTGTGAGGAATGTGGCTTTATCTCCCTGTGAAATGAAAGATGATTTTACCACAGTAACTGAGAAGCTTTCGGAGTAATATTCCTGAAAGCCAAACCAAACGCTGAGCTCCTCAGGCCTTTATTTTGGTGTCTACTGCAGATGAAGATGTCTTTGACTGTTTAATACTTCTTGGCATTTCTCACACTCTTTCTGTTTTCTTTAAGTGCCCTGAATACTAAACACAATACGCATAAAAACAGCAATTGCATACGTAACAGGATTTTTACATCACACAACACAATGCTAAGTTATGGTGTCCATTGCATTGCTATGCAGTTGCTAAGGCATTTGGAGAATTTTTAAACACGTTGCTATGCAGTTGCTAGGGTATTCTGGGTGGTTGCTTACTGGCTTAAGTCAAAAGAGGCCATCCTAACATCCTAAGTCTCTGTGATATTCTAGTCTCTACATATGGCTCAAGTCCCTCCTTTAATTATTTTTAATGGATTTTATTGTCTGCAGGGAAAAATAGTAAAGTCTGAGCACTTACAAAAGTAATAGCACACTTTTCCTCACATGCCATATGACTTGAGGTCAAGTCAATTTGATTTTTATAGCACTTTATACAGTTGAGATTTTCAAAGCAGCTTCGCCGAATTAAACAGGAGAGTAACAGAATCAATAATGCAAACTTCAAAAATGAGGCGAAGCCCAATTCTGCTATAAAGCAGCTGTAGCAAGACAATAGTGTCAATGTTGCAAAATTATTTTTTTTGATGAGGTTGCAGGTGTCTGGATGGAATGACTAAGATGACCTGCTTGATTTCAGGCCTGTGTGTGTTACGCTGGGAAAATCCCAAGCAACAAAACCTCTCCCCCAGTGTTCCTCCCACCATGCCAGCCAAACAGAGACAAAAATGCACAACATTCTTCTCACACATAAGCATACCAACACTAAGCTGGATTCACACAGCTTCTAAATTGAAAATCATGTGTACTTTGCTCCATGTAATGAAAACATACACCATAGAATTATGCACAACACTAGTACACTTAGCTATCATGCACACACAGTGACTATACAGTCTTTTATATCTTACTGCTTAATTTTAAAATGGACTTTGGGGGTTTAAAACAGACAAAAATGCCCTAACTGTATGCCATACAGCTCTAACAGGTAATAGATGCTGCAGTGAAGTAAAAGCTTTAAAAAACACACAGAGGGGTATTACTGAGGCATTTTATGTTGTAGAATAAACCATAAAAATATCTTGAGCTTGTGCTGACCACAGACCTTATTTCAGCCATTTAACCAAAGCCCATTCATGAAAACCATTGCCTTCTGGACGATGAAACCAGAAGTGCAAAATGCTACAGTAACTCAATTCCAGGTTTTTGCCTACAAAAATATGTTATGCCTGAAACTGTTCAGTCACATGACTTGTTTAGGCAAAGTCACACTTTTTTTTTTTTATTCATCCAGAACATCTTTAAGTCGTATATTTAAGAGTCCTAGTATTCTATTCTGAATGTTTTCATTGTTGTTTATGTGCACATCTTCTTAAAGACTGAAAAAGTTATCCACCTTAAGCGAGTGCATGCATTTTTTGTGCATATTTTTAACATTATTTGCATCTTGGTGTTTCCATCCAGTATTTTGTATCACAATATCCCAAAACAGGATAATACAGAAATGTCATACTTGATCTGGGTTTCAGTTTTTGTGTATGTGCTTCCATTAGTTCCTCCAGCACGTGCTGTGCTCTCTGTTATTAGTTGATCTGAGAGAATGGATGACAAGCTGTTTTCCTCCCTCCATCAGCAGCTCTCTTTCTACCGCGTCTCAGGTTCCATTATTGTGAGGAATGTGGCTTTATCTCCCTGTGAAATGAAAGATGATTTTACCACAGTAACTGAGAAGCTTTCGGAGTAATATTCCTGAAAGCCAAACCAAACGCTGAGCTCCTCAGGCCTTTATTTTGGTGTCTACTGCAGATGAAGATGTCTTTGACTGTTTAATACTTCTTGGCATTTCTCACACTCTTTCTGTTTTCTTTAAGTGCCCTGAATACTAAACACAATACGCATAAAAACAGCAATTGCATACGTAACAGGATTTTTACATCACACAACACAATGCTAAGTTATGGTGTCCATTGCATTGCTATGCAGTTGCTAAGGCATTTGGAGAATTTTTAAACACGTTGCTATGCAGTTGCTAGGGTATTCTGGGTGGTTGCTTACTGGCTTAAGTCAAAAGAGGCCATCCTAACATCCTAAGTCTCTGTGATATTCTAGTCTCTACATATGGCTCAAGTCCCTCCTTTAATTATTTTTAATGGATTTTATTGTCTGCAGGGAAAAATAGTAAAGTCTGAGCACTTACAAAAGTAATAGCACACTTTTCCTCACATGCCATATGACTTGAGGTCAAGTCAATTTGATTTTTATAGCACTTTATACAGTTGAGATTTTCAAAGCAGCTTCGCCGAATTAAACAGGAGAGTAACAGAATCAATAATGCAAACTTCAAAAATGAGGCGAAGCCCAATTCTGCTATAAAGCAGCTGTAGCAAGACAATAGTGTCAATGTTGCAAAATTAATCATTTTTTAATTATTGTGAATTGTTAAATGATTGTTAAATCAAACTAATTCATTTCCGTTTTGTAGGAAAAAGTTGGCCAGAATGGTAGTCGTGCTGTCCTGCAATCTATCCTTTTTTAAGCTGTCTACGTCGACCCAGTTACAGTGTATTGTTGTGCGTTTCCCATCATTGTGACGTGGATAAAATCTAATGCTCAACTGACACAATAGGAAACATTTCAAACTATATTCTGAAAACCACTGTGTGTTTCTTTACTGCCTCAGACAGACTGCAATCTTCACGCCCGGTTCTAAAATGTTGCAGTAAACTAAATGCAATCTATCACTCGCATGAAGCAAAAATTGTGTTCACTGGTAATGCCTCTTTGGAGGCAGGTGAATGGTCTGTTTTCTTGTGAAGATAAATGATATACATCATTGCTTGACATAAACCTCACGTTTACCTCGGTGACCTTTGACTTTGTTTACCACCAACTTCAGTGGTGTAAAACCGAACGAGGATGTGTGATCTTCATCGTTTCTCCTGTGTGTGGGTGTGTGTATATGTGGGAGCGGGACTTCCACACTGTGTGGTATTAATATCCTCATGCTTCCATGCCTGCAGGGTTACTCCTCTGCCAGGAAACATATGACCTCAGCACACCTCCTGAAGAGCCCTCCACCTTCCACACTGATGTATACTGTACACACATGCACATACATACAGTTCCAAACACTGGCTTACATGCCTGGATGCGCGGCTCGCAATTTGGCTCAGATGATGATGATGATTGGATTTTGGATTCCATATGATGCTCACTGCAAAATATCAAACAGGTATCAAATATCAAAAGCAGATCTGCAACACTTAACAAAATCAAAATGTCTCTCAAGTAAGTGTGTGAGTGTATGTGTGTGTGTGTGTGTGTGTGTGTGTGTGTGTGTGTGTGTGTGAGAGAGAGAGAAATAATTGAGTACACTTCCAGATAACTTACAGGTGCATTGTATTTCCTCTGATGTGGACGTCATCTTCCACTCTTCATTCTGTCCTTCCTGTTTGCACAACAACTTCCTGTGACATGTCCTGTTCTGTTGAAGGATAGCCTGGCTTGTGTGCTTGCCTCATGGTTTCTCCTGTTTAGTGAACAAACAGCAGTTTTAGAACCCTATCCCGCTATGTTTGGTGTGAAGGTTATTGTTGTTGTTGTTGTTATAATTGTTATAAATAAAAAATAATATTGCATTATAATGGTAATAATTATGATAATGTTTATATTGTTATTAAAATAATATTTGAAATTGCAATCATCATCATTTAGAACTCTGTCCTGTTATGTCTGGTGTGAAGGTTAAAAAATATTCTAAATTAAAAATCTTTGAAATTACAACAACAATAATTATTATTATTATTACAATATATATATTTATTAAATGTATACCAACTCTACCTGACCCTTTCAGTCCAGCAATTATAATGTTACTGCACCTTTAACACTTTGTAAGTTCAAGTACATGCGAATGACATGTAACATTGTGTTTTGGATGCTGATGTTCCCACTGGGGTTCTTAACTATAGCTACATTAGCATGATTTTCTTGGCCAATCACCACTAACTGACTACTAACAGAGCAACTATGTTTTGACCAACATCAAACCAGCTCTAAACCACATAACGCTGGACTTAGCATGGAAGTTCACGCTGGTTTAAAATGGCAGGAATTAAGAAATCAGAGATAAAAGAATAGGAGATTAATAGGAAGTAGACTGAGAGCGGAGTTAGCTGGCGTCAGGGCAGGGCTCACAGGTTTCCAGCAGCAGGGAAGGGCTCTCTTGAAGCCTTCATGCTTGAAGGCAGAGCTCTCTCTGAGGCTTTCCACGGTGAGGATACAGAGCTCTCTCACACTCAAGCACAAAGCAAATTGTATGTGAAAACAATGCTAGCTGTCTGACCATCTCAAGGAGGGTGGGCAGAGAAACCTTGACTGGCCTAGTTTAGCTCTGAGACAACCCTGAGATGGCCAGACAATAGTCTTCAATAGAGCAAAATACAGTACAATATAATATACACTATAATCTCCAGACATCTTAGATATGGGTCTAAAAACTCACAATTCCAAAGTGGTGCAGTATGGAAGTGCTTACATTAGACATTTCCTCCTCCAGGCCTGTGTTCTAGAAGAAACCGTGGCATTGTGTTGGTCAAGTCTCTCTCTGTCATTTTTACACTCAAGATCTGGCCTTGAACAAAAGCCTAAGGGTTCTGCCCGCCTCACTGGAAATAGTCTCCAAGGACATCAAATCCTGCTCCTAGAGGTTCAATTTCCTGCAGAGTTTAGCTCCAGCCCTCATTATTCAGTGCATATCTGAACCAAGTAATCAAGGGCTACGTCTGAAATTGCTCACTCTCTGAGTAGGTACTTCTTTCGAAAAAAAAAGTATGTTCTATGTAGTATGAATGTGTGTAGTAAGAATTGTTGCCATTGTCATGTGACCTATCAACATCTGTTGCGTCGCTTTACTTCAATTCACAAATCCTCTCCCGTGGCCTCATGGGATAGTGTCTACTGGATGCGTACTTCAGAATCTTGTCAGAAGTAGTAGGTCTACTAGTATGACTACTGTGAAATCGGACATACTGTACTACTATTTTCACATAGGCCTACTATTTTTTTGCCTATATATAGTAGAGAAGTATGCAATATCAGATGCAGACATGGTCTTCAGGACTACTCAAAACTTACAGTCCCCAAATATGTCCAATCGTGCTCCTAGAGGTCCTTATTCATGCAGAGTTTAGCTCCAGCCCTCATAATACAGTACATACCTGAACCAGGTAATCGAGAACTTCTCTTATTCAAAACTTAGTCCCAAAAATGCTCCTAGCGATCTACATTCCTGCAGAGATTAGCTCCAGTCCTAATTAAAAATCACATTAATTAGGTAATCAAGGTTCAGGACTCTTCGAAACTTCCAGACAGGTGTGTTGGACTGGGTTGGAGCTGAATTTTACAGGCAGGTGGACCTCCAGGAGCAGGATTAGACACACTTGTTGTAAAACATCTCAGGCTAAGAGTCCAACATTTGTTGTCTTTCATGTTAACCTTCTTAATTTAGAAAAAGGTTAATCTTTACTTTGATTCTAGGGGTCAGTTAGAAGGGGAACGAGATCTTGGATCAACATTTCTACAGAGATTTGCATTTGTACTCCGGGTTAGAGGTAAGCAGAATCTGAAGACCTCTTTCCTTTCCTAACCCACTACAAAACAGTATTCTAACAATCCAAGTAGGTTGAGAATTACAGTTGTGTTACAACAGATACATAATATTATATGCTTTAACTTTATGAAACTTTATAGTATTTATATGATATATACATTATATCTGTCTGTAATCACTTGCTATTTTTTGGCTAAATTTTAGGTGTATATGGTACAAAAAGAACACACTGTGATCTTGTGTTTCTGCCACCTGGGTTTACATCCGTTACGGTTTCTTTAAGGTGGCTCAAATTAAACATTGTAATGAAAAATCAAAACCTCCACAACAACCAATGCAAAAGGTCTGACATCAGCCAATATCTGGCACTCTCCCCTCCATTCTCCCTGCCGCTGGTTTTCCCATCATTCTTTACACCTTCCTGTTCAGAGATGAATCCCAGTGTCCTCACAGCTCTGGTTCAATTGCAAAGAGCGGATCGGAATCAGGTTTCGACTGCAGGTAGCAGAAGCAGATGCCAGAACCGATCCAATTTCTCTCTCTTGCATCCCAAATCCCAATTTCTTCTCTACTTGGTTCCTCTCCCTCACTTGTCGTCTTGTCATCCAACAATAACACAACATGCTGGCTTCCTGTGTGTTGGGTGAACAATAGGAGGATAACTTTGATGGCGTGTGCGAATTTGCCGTAGGAGTGCTTTTATCTCGGCCTGTAATCTCATGCAGCATATTGAGAAGGGTCTGTGTTCCTGAATCAAAAAACACATTAATTTTTCAGAGAAATTTCTGAATGAAGCAAATCGTAAAAGATTTCTCTTAAAGAAAGTGTTCCTAATGATCTTTTAAAAAGTAAGATAAAGCAGCGGTACTCATGTAAAATTCACTTTGACAGCTCATGTGATCTCCACTGCTGACTGTAATAGCTACCTAGCTTATGCTTAGCTGTCCTGAGCCTAACATTAAGCTCCAAGTGTTCTGAAAATTTGACATACCCTTTAAGGATGATCTACCAGTAGCTTAAGCTGTCATTTTTGCCTGAAAAAAATGGGCTTCTTTCTCAAAATGAGCCACAAACTGGGTAGCACATCTCCCTCACTTGTCGTCTTGTCATCCAACAATAACACAACATGCTGGCTTCCTGTGTGTTGGGTGAACAATAGGAGGATAACTTTGATGGCGTGTGCGAATTTGCCGTAGGAGTGCTTTTATCTCGGCCTGTAATCTCATGCAGCATATTGAGAAGGGTCTGTGTTCCTGAATCAAAAAACACATTAATTTTTCAGAGAAATTTCTGAATGAAGCAAATCGTAAAAGATTTCTCTTAAAGAAAGTGTTCCTAATGATCTTTTAAAAAGTAAGATAAAGCAGTGGTACTCATGTAAAATTCACTTTGACAGCTCATGTGATCTCCACTGCTGACTGTAATAGCTACCTAGCTTATGCTTAGCTGTACTGAGCCTAACATTAAGCTCCAAGTGTTCTGAAAATTTGACATACCCTTTAAGGATGATCTACCAGTAGCTTAAGCTGTCATTTTTGCCTGAAAAAAATGGGCTTCTTTCACAAAATGAGCCACAAACTGGGTAGCACATCTTGTCAACAGGAAACACTTAATACAATATACTACCACTTTTAAAACAGAGGTTGCACACCTTGTCAGACAGAAAATACATATTAGGGTGTACATCCGCTTGGATAAATAAGGTGAAAAATAGGGGTAGCACATCCTGCCGAGCTTGTAATACAGGATGTATTACCACAATGTACTTTACAGACTCCTCTTTTCTGATGAATGAGAAAATCGAGAAATCTAATCTATAATCTATATGGAATATAGCAATTTGAAACTTTTAAAAGGCAATTTTTTTCTCAGTGGGAAGGTAGCATCCCTTTGTATCCCCATTTAACTTTTTTATCCCATTTATTGTCCTTACATTTTCCTGTTCTGTGTCAAAAAGGCCTCAAACCCATTAAACACCCCAAATGCCTTACGACCTCCAGTTAAAAGCACAATCTGTAATTTTGACAGCTGGCTGCCTGTTGATAGGAGTACAATCTCACCCCTTGACTTCAGAAAACTCCCGTACACTTCAGTGTTTACAATCTCATTCTGACTACATGGGGTTATGTCGTCAATTAAAGATTGTCTTTAAAATGAATATAACTGGCTGCACAATACTACAACGTTGGGTCAGTTTGATCAGCTGTAGACAGATTTAAGGCCACACACACACACACACACACACACACTGGTCTAAGAGCAGTCCATCTTTGTCATCTCTGAGCTGGAATCTCATACAGCAGACAATGGTGGACTTCAATTCACACAGTCTTTCTGATGTGTCAGACATAAACTCTCTCTCTCTTCCTCTTCCTCTCACTCTCCGTCTCCCTCTCCCTCAATGCCTCCATTTATTCCATTAGACACAGGGTATTCCCTGGGTCATCATTGTGTTGGTATCCAGGTTGCCAATGGCAACAGTCCCATCGTCTCACCCACTCTCTGACACCATGTCTTTTGTCCATGAATCTGACTGAGAGACGAGTGGGCAGAGGAGAGAGTGTGAAATTAGTCACGCAAATACCACCGAGCACAAGTGTGCCCCCTGTTGGAAGAGCAGAGAGAGCAGGCCTGTGGGCGTATTGTGAGTGAAACGGATTGTGAGAGGAATCTGCAGGTGGACACAGACTCACACAGTGCCAAAATTCCTCAGCCAATCGCATCTCTTTCTCACTCACTGCCTCTGTTTCTTGTTCTTTCTATCCCACAAGAGAGAAGGAAGCAATAAATAGAAATTGGGGGAAATTTGAACAGAGATTAAATTCATTAATATTAGCTAATGCATTAAGCTAATGATAAATGAAACTTTATAGTATTTATTCATGTTAATATGCTACATATTAACATTTAAGATTTTA